GAGTGCCCATTGTCGACTGCCCATTTCCTCTCCACTTCCTCTTCTGTGCCCCCCGGTGATTATTAATCCTGTTACTATCTGCACAGATCCACCCATCTGACTTCCCTATACAGAGAAACATACAAAGCAAAGACAAAAAGCAAAAAAGGACACAACAATAATGATCAGATGAAACAGAGAAAAACCTAATTCAAAAAGAAAGCAGAAAATATTAAAAACTAAAGCAAATTTAAAAAGAGTCAAAATGGAGATCAATGATAAGGTGTTAAATTTTAACCTAACTTCATCTGTATTAACTCACTTTCCAATGCGCTCTGCATAATAGAAGGCTATTCTCATCCCTGGTCTATGATCACAGGGTATTCACCAGTGTAACTATTTAGGGCACAGAAAGCATCTTCTTTCTCTCATCAAGTAGCTGGTGGTTTTGAACTGCTGGCTTCTGATAGTAGCCCAACGAGTAACACACTATACAACCAGTGTTCCAGTCCAGTCTAACTACAGCAACTAAAATCCGCTTTACCATGATCTTTGCCTGATATTAAAGCTATTTTCCTAGATTATGATCAGTGAAGATTTACCAACGAATTAATCCACATAGGGACCCTGCAAATGGGTTTTGGGCTTCCAATATCATCTGTTGCATTCTGCATACTGGGTGTTTAGAACCTGGTCTCTGGTACTGTTCCTTACGCCGACTTTGGAGCTTATTCTTTCCAATATTTGGATCACATAGTCTGGTGTTCTTTTTCTATGAGGACTTAGATGACTCTTCATTTACATGGCTGCTTGTTTTGAGACAAGACTTTAAGACCTTAGATGCTATTTTTTCTGATAGCCGGGCACCATCTGATTTCTTCACCATACATTGCTATTGCACCCATATATTTAGCGCAGTTGAGTACCAAGCAGGGCCATGTCACAAGGACGAATTGTTCTTATCTTAGGGTTACAAACAAGTGTGAGTTCAAAATCCATTCACAGAACTATGGTTTATATTCTAGAACTCAGATATATAATTTGTTTCTCAACTAAGACTTCAATTCCCTGCAGACCTTTCTCATCCTTATGTTAAACTTTACTTCTATCTACTCTACAGACTCCTGTACTTCCTCTGACTATTTCTTGCCCATACCTCTACAATTGCCCCTGTCAGGGCTCCCTGACAGTTTGATCACCTCCAAGAGCTTGCCTTGCAATACTTAAGCCTCTTTCAGAGCTAATCTCAATCTGCTAGTTTGACTGATCTTCAGATTCTGGCTATCTCTGATTTGGTCCAAACACTTGGATAACCTTCAATGGTTTATAACTGTGAGATATATATATGGTTTATAACTGTGGTTTATAATGGTTTATAACTGTGATATATATATATATAGTTTGACCACAGAATTCTCGTGTTCTGTGTGGGAGACCTGACTTAAATTCACAGCCAGGCATGCTTGTTGCCATAATGCTGCACTTGTTTTAGCAAAGCTTCCAGACCAAGGTAAACTCAGAAGAAAGGCCTGGCAATCTACTTCTGAAGATCATCCAGTGCAAAGAGCCTGTGGATGACAAATGTCTGATCCCTCATTTAATCATGGGAATGATGCAGACCCAGGAAGCAATTTGTTTCATCTTTAAGGAACATGAACAGGGAGCCAACTCAGTGACAGCTAACAAGAATTGTATAAAGAATTTAAAAGTACAAATAATCCAATATAATTGGATGGTATCATGCAATTTGACCCTCAATGTTTCTTATCAGACCAAGCGCAAAGAGACTTTTGGCCATCCCTGGAATGCAAAACCATCATTAGCTAATCTCAACTGAAGAAATCCAAAAGAATGTATCTAAGAATCTGAAGAAAATACTTTTTCTTCAGTTTCAGTGGCTTTGCTACTTTATTTTTAGCATCAGTGGAGTAAATGTAAAATTTTTCAGGGGACTTCCGTGAAATGGATAACTTTCATTTAAATATATAAGTTCTGATGGCTTTGTCACACAATCCCTTCTATTACTTTATTATTACTGTGAAACACTTTGATAGAAGCGTGAAACTTTATCTTGACCAGCTGGAAAAATATTGTGATTAAGCACCATGTTCCTACATTCTAATTCTTCATTCTTAGTGATCTGTCCAATGATTTCATATTATAGATGGAGTTAAGAATAGAAAGGGAACTTTTAGAACCTGTAGATATTCAGAAAGGGAAACAGATAATGGATTAAAGTTTCAAAGTCTAAGAATCCCTTGCCAGGAAGCCCGGAGTAAACTATTCTTGGTTTGTACTACATTTACCCTCTGAACCCCAATCCATGTGGCTGGGTTCCTAATACCTGTCTAATCTTGGCAGTCTGTTCTTACTAAGGGCTAACCTCTGTCTCTAGGTTATCGTTTCAGAGTTATATTTCCAAACACACTGCTCGGAAAACAATTATAGCTTTTGATCAGAAAATGACTAGTCCACTACCAAGAGAGCCAAACTACCTCCCTCACATTCTAGAGAGGACCCTTTGCATAGAATGCCAGCATAGATTGGCCCCTGTTGTTGAGATAGGTGCTATTGGCAATTTTAATTTAGGCCAGGCCTAAAGCCCATTTTGCCTCTTCTTTCCACAGACTTACCCATTCCAGGTTTCCTCTCCTTTTTTTCCGGAGCAGCCACTGAAGTTCCAGCAAGCCATCTGGCTAATACAGCAGAGGGTATGGTACAAATTAAAACTGGAGTGCGCCTAATCTAGTATGACAGTTTGTACTGATCAGGTTAATGGAGATAATTTCTCTTTGACTTGTACAAAGAGAATCTGATTTGCTATTAATTATTCTGTCCGGTCATTAACATAATGTTACACTAAATAAGAAAATCTATTCACTTAGCAGAAGGGTTTACAGCAACCAAAGCAGAATACTAGCAAAGTGTTGTAGTTTGTGTTCAGCAGGGAAGCTTGCCCTTTGACATGTTTTCTTCTCTGTAGGGAGGGGCTTCCTAAGCCATCACTTTTCTCCGGTTTTCTCAGGAGAATATATGCATCTGTGAGATGATTGGCATTGGATACAGAGCATACAAAGGTGGACTACAGTTTTGAGAACAGAGTGAAACTAATTGCCCCAAAGGTTAATAACCACATTGTGACAGCAACATACTGCATTATCAAATAAAAGAAATGACTTTATTTGAGTTTTGTTTTCAAATTTTCTTAATAATTATTTGTCAAGAAAATTATTCAGTGTTAAATGCCATGATGGAAATGTCTTCAAAAAGCATAGAAACAGATCCTCCCTTTGTTGAGCTTACACACTAGATAGAGGAGACCAATACAATTGGTTAGATAATTATTTACTTATAGTTGTGAGACGTGTATAAAGAATAAGTCAGCATAGCATAAGAGAATTAGATGAGACCCAAATAATTACTCAGGTGAAAGGTGGAGTGGAGATAAGGGGAAGAAGGAAGTTAGAGGGTGTGCGAAATGCAAAGCAAGTGAAGGGAGTAGGAGTTCAGGAAGCAAGGAAGAGGCAAAAGAGGAAACTGGAGATTTAGGCAAGATTTGGATTCCTACAGGGCCTTGGATGCTATGGATAATATTGGTGGGGCATTTGGCCTTTGTTTCGAGGATGGAAAGTCATTGGAGTAAGTTTAGTGGATGTTCTAATATTCTAATGACAAACTCACCAAACACACCCCTCAGCCTATCTCAGAAATCTGTAGAAAGAGAAAAACAAAAGACGGAGATGGCTAGAACAGAGGAAGCATTTCCACTCTGTGTCTCTGCACAGAAGGCAAGACAGAAGCCCTGAGCGCTGAAGAGTAATTACACTTCTACTCTGGATCCCTGTCTTAACCACCAGGAGTATGTTCTGCAGGGTCAATTTCATAATTGAGGGTAATTACAAGAAGTTAATACTAGATTAGAGACAATTAGACCCTATGCAACAGGGAGCTCTGTGGGTGGTCAGGAAAGGAGTAGGAAGAACCAGTGGGGAGGTTCCCAACCTGCCTGATATGCTTTGACTCACATGGTACGGATGGAGGGAGAGCTATCTCTGCTCCTCCAATGTCTTCCCAGCTGGAGCAGGTGGGAGGTGAAAGCAGGTCAAGAATCCCATCACCGAGAATCAAGCAAGATTCTCTTTCACCCCCATTGAAAGTGTTGCACAGATCAGAAGCCAATATAGAAAGAAGTAAAAAAGCCAATGACTGCGAGGGCTGCCTTGAAATTCAATTAGACAAATCTTATTTGAGCAACTATTGTTTTGTTTTGTTTTGGGTCTAGGACTCCCATTCTGGATCTGGACACTCTGGAGGAGACATGAGCATCACACAATGCTTGTCCTCAAGACACGTTAATGTTTAGTTAGGTAACCTTCTTATTTTACACTCTTTACCCACCAAACAGCCCTCGCTTTGAGGAGTCATGGATGTGTTTCATCCATAAATACTGTGGCATCTACTCCGTGCAAAGCCACAATCTAGGGGCAGTAGGAGAAGTAAGGGTGACATTATGCCAGTCTTCAAGCAGCTCGGCAGGGATGCACAGGAACCCGGAGGGGCGTGAAATGCATAGTGAGGAGTGCTGCAAGGCAGAGGCTGAAGGGTCCTGACAGAACGTACAAGAGGCCCTTTCTAGTGGATGGGTAGAGCAAGTGTGCATGCAAGGACAAGTGCATGCGACAAGTGTGTGCACACATGGCCCGGCCACATAATGCAACCCCAAACCCTAGCACTGGTAGATATTTTTATCATACACTCAACACATGATATCAAGCTGTTGCTACATGCATGGGTCTTTCTAATGTTTCCTTAAGAGGCATCTACAGATGGTAGCACAACCTGAGATATTCATATGTGTCTTCATAAACTTAATCTTGCCAGAAAGGGTAAAATGGAGCTCCCAAGGGCCCCAGGGGAGGGTCCCTGCTCTGCTGACCATTTTCCTGGAAAACGCAAAGTTTTGCATTTAATGACTAATCTAACCTCTGTGAAAAGGATTTCTCTCGGGATGGTGAGGATGCTTAGGTCCCATTTGCATATGCCCCCTGACTGATGAGCCGCTTCAGGGCCTTTTTCACATCCTTGTTTCTCAGGCTGTACACAATGGGATTGATCATGGGGGTGACTATGGTGTACAGTAAGGAGAAAAGTTTGTTCAGAACAGCAGCCTGGGTGGCGGTGGGAATGGCGTACACGGTCCCTAGTGTCCCGTAGTACAGAGTGACCACAATGAGGTGGGAGGAGCAGGTGGAGAAGGCCCGCTGCTTTCCGCCAGTGGATGGAATCCTGAGCACAGCAGCAACAATGCGGATATAGGAGGCGACGGTGAGCAGGAAGGGGACCATGGTGACGAAAGAAGCCAAGAGGAAAGTAGTTTTCTCTACTGTCTCAGGATCAGAACAAGCCAGCTTCAGCACAGGGGCCAGGTCACAGAAGAAATGATCAATCTCATAGGCTTCACAAAAGGGTAGCTGGAAAGTCATGGTGACAGTGACCACAGGGGTTAAAAATCCACCCAGCCAAGACAGAGCTGCAAGCAGGATACATGTCTGAAGGTTCATGAGGGCTGGGTACCGGAGGGGGCTGCAGATGGCCAGGTAGCGGTCATACGACATGGCTGCCAGCATAAAGCATTCGACCACTGCCATGGAACCAAAGAAGTAAAACTGGGCAATGCAGCCTGCAAACGATATTGCCTCAGGACCTACGGCGAGGGTCTTCAGCATCTTGGGGGCAATCGAGGTAGTATACCAGATCTCAAGGAAAGAGAAATTGGCCAGAAAGAAGTACATGGGGGTTTGGAGACTGCGATCAAAAGAAATGACCGTGAGGATGAGAATGTTCCCAACCAAGGTCACTATATAGATTCCCAGAAATATTCCAAAGAGGAAAAACTGCAACCCATGGAGACTCCCAAATCCCAGGAGGAGAAATTCTTTGATTGTGGTCAGATTACCCATCTCTGTGACAGTTAGGCAGCAGACCTGAGAAAAAGAAAGAACAGCGCCAGTTGGAGAAAGAGTCGTGCTATCGGAGAGTAACAATACCACCAGGCATGCCGTAGGCCAAATAACTCAAAGGTCCTTTCTTTTCTCTTCTGGAATTCTATGTTGTTTTCTTCTACCGGGTAGGTTTACCGAACTGTAGCAGAATCTGAAAGCCCGATGTCCTGGAAGAATGAACAGATAAGGTGTCTTTCTCTGTTCCTTTCTATCCCCTCATTTGACATCAGTGCTGATGACTCATCTCTGGAGAACCTAACAGAAAGATACAAATGTCTACTAATGCAGGAATATCCCCAAAGCTTCTGTGACTCTAATGCTGTCTGGATGTCTGAAAATGGACCTTTTAGACTCAATAGAAGTGGGAAGCCAAGATTCTAAGTAACATTGGAATCAGACCCCCCTCATCTCACTGAACCCTTAAATCAGGACATAACTCGCAAAGAATGCTATAGCAGGGAGGAGGTGAATTCAGAGCTATGGATCTGAAAGTACATGTAAGAAAAATAAGAGTTTCTGCCAGGCTCAGGGGACCTGTAGCTGATTGCTTCCATGGCATCAAATTCCTATGGAAATTGGGGGTAAATGTATGTAAAGTTATTCACTGGGAAATGTTAGAGAAAAATAATGTTCCATCCTTCTTAAATGAAAATGACATTCCTGACTCACAGGCAGTAGGATGTGCATTTCGTTATTTTTTTCCCAACAGTGAGGATGTGTTAGTAGTGAGTCACAGATGCATTTCCCTCCTCCCCACAAGCCAGCCCCCCCCCCACCCAGTGCTAGAGAACCCAGACTTGTGAGATGGCTCTATGGTGTGAGCCCCTAGACCGAGCGAGAATTAGAAATCACTCTGTGGTGTGGTGCACCCTAACAGGAAGTGTGAGGCCAGTTTGAGGGTCTCAGTTCAGCTGGTGTCCTAGGTTGGATACTCAGTCTGTGGCCAGTGAATAAAGCAAAGCCATCTCTCCTGTTCTGTTTTGAATCATGACAACAGGCCCCTCAAAGGTGACAGTTATGTCACAATTTTTAAAATAAAATCTTATTTAAATTCAGATAGTTCTTCATTCAAAGGACTGTTAATAAGAATGTGTTTGTGAAGGGAAATAATTCCTCCACAATTTACCTTTTGGGCCACCCGGGATTATTAATATACAAAATTGCATCAAGGAGAGTCTACCTCTAATGGAAAGAGTCAGGACATTTAGGGTGCTTAGGAGGTTCTAAATATGATTACAGTGTATAAAGAAAATCAATCAGCAACTAGGGCTGTCCCTGAGGACGAGAGTGGCTTCCTAATTGGGGGATTAAACTGTGGTGTCCCATTACCACTTTGTCTTCAGAGACGCTCAGCTAGCATTCAGAACCAACATTAACATCATTAGACTTTTATCATTCAATTCTAAGTTTCATTAATTAATAATGGGGTAAATTTGATTTTCCCTTTTGGCCTACAGGTGAGCTCCTTGTAATCTTCAAATTCAAAGGTACACTAGCCTCCTTTGTTTCCTGGCAGTGAGTGCATGTGAATGAATGTGATAAGGAGCCCTGATGGCATCGTGGTTATGAGTTGAGTTGCCAACTTCAAAATCAGCAGTTTGAAACCACCAGCTGCTCTGAGCGAGAAAGAGGAGGCTCTGTCTTCCTGTAGAGTTATAGTCGCTGAAACCCAACGGGCCAGTTCTATTCTGCCCTTCAGGGTCTCAATGAGTCAGAATCAATTCAATGACAGTGAGTTGAGATGAACCGAGACATCGAGGAAAGGCAAAATAGAGGCATCTGCTCGAGACTCCATGAATTCATTTATTCACTACATAATTCTGAATATGTACAATGTGTCCTCTGTTGCTCTAGGTAGGCATTGGGGGAGGGTCTGGGTAGTTTAGTGTATTTCTCTCTTTCCATCTAGGAGGTCCAGGTTGGATTCTCAACTAATGAACTTCATGCACAATCTGTCAGTGGAGGTTTGTGAGCTGCAATGAGGGTGAAGAAAGATGGGGTCGTGATACAGAGTGTAATGGTATGTGGAGGGAATCTAGTTTGGGTGAGATGGTCAAGGAAGTTCTCTTAGATTGGAAGTAAGAGTGAAGCAGAAATATGATGGGTAAGGCTAAGCCAGCTATGAGAAGGCTAGCTGGATGGGAGGTGTGTGACAAGTAGGGTGATCGCATGTGCCGACGGCTTGAGTAGAACAAACATCTGTGCTACTAGAAGAACCCAAACCAACAACAAAGCAACCAGTGTGACTGGAAGGCAGCAGTCGAGGCAAGCAATTGAAGTTGTGGAGCTAGATATGATCTGATTTATAATTTGAAAAGTTCACTGGAGTGTCTTTATGGTGATCTGACTGTAAAAAAGGCTAAGAGGGAAAACAAGAACCCTATTAAGGAAGATAATGGAGCAGTCCAGGCAAGAGATGGTGACTAAGATCGAGTTGGAGTGAAGTGAATTCATTTCAGTTTTACACATAGTGAAACTTACATGTCTTGGTGCACCTTTTCACGATGCATATCACACTTCTTACTTGCAGTTCAGTCGACCCTTGACGCATGATGATTCTATGCACAATGGAACAAACAGCTGCCCAATCCTGTACCATCCCCATGAGCAGTTAGGGGTTGAACCACTGTTATCCATAGGGATTTCATTACCTGACTACCAGAAGTAGATTCTAGGCCTTTCTTCCTACTCTTAGACTGGGATTTTCACTGAAATGTCTTCAACATCATAGCAGCATGCAAGTCTCCACTGACAGATGGGTCAGTGGCTGCACTTGAGATGCATGGGAAACAAAATTTCGACCATGGAACCACCACTGCCTCTGTTAAAGTTATTTTTTAAATATGACATGTATGACAGATGAATTACATTAGGAAAGTAACTGAAGGAACAGAGCAAATTAAGGATAAACCTCAGACTTTTGGCTTGAGCATCTGCATGGCTGATCATGTCTTTTTCTGAAATGGGTGAAAACCAACTAGGGACATTCTTCTTCCCTCCCGTTTCTTGTTCTCATCACCCCCTTCCCTCCCTCCTTCTCTCCTTTCCCACCTCTTTCTTTACCTACCTGCCCACCTACCGTTCTTATCTGTCCACATTGATTTTTCTTTCTTTTAGATTTAGTGGGTCGAAACCTAGTGCTCAATGGCAGGCTTAATTCTCACGTGGATAAGTAAACTGGTAAGGAGCCCTGGTAGCAAAGTGGTTATGTGCTGGGCTGCCAACTGCAAGGTTGGCAGTTTGAAACCACCAGGCATAGTGTGGGAGCAAGATGGGTCTTTCTACTTCCATCCGATTCAAGAGTAATCGTTTGAGAAACTCACAGGGTTGCTAAGAGCCGGTGTTGACTGGATGGTAGTGATAAGCAAACTGGTGAGATACTGAGATCAAGCCGGGAGAGCCATGGCCCTCACTGAAGTCATTGGCCAAGCTCTGAAGCCAAAGTCTTTCCCTTGGTTTCAGAAGAGACCAGGACAGAGTGGATGAGCCAGTGGTATCTTTACTCGCCCATTTGAAGTTTCTCAAACATTAAGTTTACCAACCTCGTATGAGCATAATTTTGCATGTATTGGATGGGGACTGCTGAACTCACTTTGATGTCAGTCTAAAAAAACAAAAACAAAAACCGTCATTAATGAGCAATCTAACTGCCCAGTAATTGCAATTATCTAAGAATTTTTTAAATTGCGTTTTGTCCCATTTGCTTTTGCATGAAAGATACAGACAACAATGAAATAACTCAGTCAAGAAACCCATTTTCAGTGTATGTCTTGGGATTGGGAAACATTCATCCCTACACTTTATCTCTTCTCCATTCTTATTTATAATTCATGTCAATCAGAATTAATGCCCAGAATGATGGCCAGAGACGGAAAGATCTTCAATCAGTGAAAAGTGATTCAAGTACATCATTATACTTGATTTACTACTTTGGGCCAGAGATTCAGATATCTGAACATATATTTTTAGCAATAGCAATGGAAAAAAGCTTTGTTCTTAACCTTTAGTTACCCAGAAAATCTAATTTACCACATCCCCTCTACCCTTTAGTATTCTCTTAATCTGGATTTGGCTGGGTATTAATTCTCTTATGGCATTTTCATCACTAAATTTTATTCATTAACATGTAAAAATACTTAATGGCATACTGGAGGGTGGAGGGAAGGTGGGATAGAAAGGGGGAACCAATTATAAGGATTTACATATAACCCCCTCCCTGGGGGACGGACAACAGAAAAGTGGGTGAAGGGAGAAGTCGGACTGTGTAAGAAATGAAAAAAAACCCTATAACTTATCAAGGGTTCATGAGGGAGAGGGGTGGGAAGGGAGGGGTAAAAATGAGGAGCTGGTACCAAGAGCTCACGTAGAAAGCAAATGTTTTGAGAATGATAATGGCAACAAATGTACAAATGTGCTAGACACAATGGGTGTATGGATGGATTGTGATAAGAGTTGTATGAGTCCCCAATAAAATGATTTTTTTTAAAAAGAACAAAAAAAAGTCCTTGATGGGCGGTGTTTGCCAAAGCACACTCCCCCATTTCACTGCTCTCCATCACTTTTGACATGTTAACAGTGGCAAAAATAAAATGATACATTTAGAAGCGTTGCAGCATAAATTGGGCATTAAAGACAAGCTGCAGAAAGGCAACTTCCTTGCTTCTCCTATAGTCAGTGCAAGGAAACCTCTTGGATTGGGAAGAAGTGAGGAGGGAGCCAAAGAAGAGGTGACTGCTGACTGCTGGAAGTGGGTAATGTGCAGTTTGACAAGGAGAGTGATGATCCCTTTCAAGTTGACAGAGAGGAAGAACACTGGGTAGCTGATTGCTAAATATTCATTAAGACAAGTCAATGACAAATACATACGATTCAAATATGCTCATAGATTTTTGTTCTCCAAAAAGTGGAAATAGCCGATGAAGATCAGAAATAATTTGTGAACACAGCTAGCTTGTTTA